GCCTGCTTCAGCACCTCTGTGCCCGAGTGCAGGGATGGTGGGGGTGACCAGGACGCGGGGAAGGACGCTGCAGGTGTCCGAAAGAAGCAGGGCCGTCTCCTGGCCAACCCTCAGGTCCCCTGTCCCATGCCCGTGCCTCGAGCCTGGGCCAGTCTGCAGCCACAGGGGTGCCGGGCTCCGACAGTCACCCCACCCGCTGTACCCGCCCCCCCCAGACCAGGAGAGGCAGCCACAGGCACCCGGCTGCCCTTCCCAGCTCCGGAGACCCCACCCTCCAGCTGCGGGCAAGGGGCATTCACCCCACACTGTGGCCACTCGGGCCGGGAGGGCCGGCATCCCATCCCGGCCTCACGGAGGTGCCAGGAGGCGGCCGCTGCTCCGAGAGGCTATCGCCACGGGGCCTGAGGGCAGCATGTGTTTTTAATAAGCAGCTGGTATTCCTTCAACATGCAATTACCAGCTGGCTACCTTAGCGGCTTTTGCGTCCAGGACCCAAAGTGCTTCCGCGGGCTCTTTGGAGGCTCAAGCGGCGGCTTCCTGTCTGTCACCTCCCACCCCCAGGGGACCCTTGCAGAGCACAGCCCCTCACCACTGGTCTGCAGGTGCTGGGGGGCGGTGGGGGCTGGTCCCCATGTGGATAGACCAGGGTCCGGGCGGGGAGGGGTCCTGAGCTCCGACTCCAGCTTTGCTGGGGGGACGGGGGAAGTGGGGGACACAGCAACACTGGGCCATTCCCTCTATGACTCCAAACAGAAAGGGGGCTAGAGGTTGTGGGCACCGGCCTACCCAGCCCCCACCCACAATCTCGCCCACGCCTGCTGCCACACCCCACCCACCAAGCCCACACCCAGACTTGAAGCAACGCTTCCTCCCTGCACCCATATTCTGCCTCCACTGGGGTCCCCCTGCTCCTGCTGTGGGGCCCCTAACCGTGCACCATGGGCCCCAGGCCATCTCAGCACTCCCAGCCAGCCCCCTCCTCACCAGAACCCCAGTATCCCTGGAAAGGGCGGGAAGAACAGGGAGGGCCGCTGAGACCTGCCGCCCCCTAATTTCTCAACTGTCTGCGGGGGCCCCCCAACCGCCCAGGGTCCCGGCCTCGTTCCCAGGCAGGCCCCGTCTGACACCTGTCACTATTCAAAGGGGCCTCCCAGGCCGCAGGACAAAGAGGGCACCACCACCCCCACCCCCCAGCCCCCCCGTGCCCCGGGCCTCCCAAGCTGACACCTGGGCACACAGACGTGTGCACACACAGACGCACGAACTGCCTGGAAAGCGCAGGGGGGACAGAACACTGCCTGGCCTGAGGGGCAGTGTCCCTCTCCACCTCTGCCTGTCCAACCCCATCCTGGGGGCACGACATGGGGCTGGCCCGACACCTCCCGCCCTGGGAGGAACCTGCCTCGGTGACAGAGAAAGGACCCATCTGACAGTGGTTGAGGGGGTTGGGGGGGGTCCACCTCCAGCCCAGCCCCCTCTGCACCAGGCAGGAGTTTGACGAGTTGAGGGACCAGGCGTCTACTGGGCCTCAGAGGCCACGGGCCCCCTTGGAAACTGTGGAGAGGGAGGAGGACAGAGCCAACTGCCAGACGGACCGGAAGTGTGGCCCCGAGGGCTGGCCCGCAAGCAGGACAGGGGACAGGCAGGCCGGCAGCCAGAGGCCCCAGCTGGAGCCAGCCTTATCCTAAAGCAAACAGCCCCCTTCCCCTCCCCCGGGCCGGCCCTGCCCCACCCCCACCTGAGCTCTACTGGACCCCAGGCCAGGCCTGCCCTGCCCCCTCCAAGCCCTGCCTTTGCAGAGACCCCAGCAGGCTCACAGGAGGGAGGCCCGTCCCCCCCCCCCCCCCCCCCCCCAGATTCCTGGGAATTTTGGCCGCCAGCACCACGGCCACAGCTCTATATTTAGCCTGGGAAACACAAGCCCCCATTGTTCCACCTGGTCGGGGTGTCCAACCCACTCAGCCAGGGGGAAACTGAGGCAAGAGCTGAGAGAGATGGGCGCCTGGAGGGCACGTGGGTGGGGGAGGCAGCCAGTTTCCCGTCCCCTCCCAGGAGGAAAGCCTGACAGCTTCAGGGCAGCCTGGGGGCCCTGGCACCGATGCCCTGGTCTCCTCTTGGGTCCTTCCAGCCAGCGTCAGCCCCTCCTCCCATGAGCACCACCGCCAGAAGGCCCATCCCTGCACAAGCCCAAGCCACAGCCCTGGGAAGTTTGGAGCATGGGGAGGATGTAGACGGTCACATGGGGCGGGCAGACACGGGGGTAAGAAGAGGCTGGGGCTGGGTCTCACTCCTCAAGGGGGCTGAACATCAAGGTGGTAGACAGGGTCACCACATCCCCCTTCCTCCCTCTATCCTCCCTGCCCTCCTCCCCCACAGCCGTGAAAACATGGCCAGGAACAGGGGTGCCCGGAGAGGCCAGGGTGCGGCAACCTGGAAGGCCCCACACGTCCAGGCTTCCTAGCTGCCGTCCAGAACTCAGGTGTCAAGGGCACACCCCATCACACCATCTCCCCGACACGCCATCCCTCAAGATGCACAGGCTGTCCCCCGGATGCACAGGCTGTCCCCCGGACACTGTCCCCCAGACACACAGGCTGTCTCCAGATGTACAGGCTGTCCCCAGACACTGTCCCTCAGATACACAGGCTGTCCCCCCAGGTGCTGTCCCCCAGACACACAGGCTGTCCCCCAGACACTGTCCCCCAGATGCACAGGCTGTCCCCCAGACGCACAGACTGTCTCCAGATGCACAGACTGTCCCCCGGACACTGTCTCCCAGACGCACAGGCTGTCCCCAGATGCACAGGCTGTCCCCAGATGCACAGGCTGTCCCCAGACGTACAGGCTGTCCCCCAGACACTGTCCCCAAGACACACAGGCTGTCCCCAGACGCACAGGCTGTCCCCAGACACTGTCCCTCAGATACACAGGCTGTCCCCCAGATGCACAGGCTGTCCCTCCAGGTGCTGTCCCCCAGACACACAGGCTGTCCCCCAGACGCTGTCCCCCCACACATGCCGTCCCCCAGAAGCAATATCCCTCAGGTGCTGCCCCCCAAGATGCACACACTCTCCCTGCAGACAGTCCCCCAAGTACACACACACACACACACAACCAGACACACTCCTACAGTGGAGTCCTACAGACCCCTCACCCCAGGATGCAGCACACCTTAGAGCACTGCGCAAACACCGCGAAGCCCACACCCCCCTTGCCCCATCCGGCTAGGAGCACCGCTCCCCCAGCTATAGCACAAGGAGGTCCCGCTATCACCCCAGACGACACCTCTCCCATCCCGTGGGCCCCGGCAGGGCCAAAGGGGTAGGGGCGCTGGGAGGCACTGAGAGACAGGGACAGACCCCGACCGTTTTCACAGGCCCTCGGGGGCCGCTTGAAACTCAGCACGCACACCCCCCTAACCCTCACGGCCTGTGCACTGCCTGCCCTCCTGTTATACCTTCCCAATCGAGCCCCGGAATGTCAAATACCGATGTAGTGCAGTTAGTGTTTTGAAAAAGCACACGCGTGCAGAAGATT